GCTCGACACCCTACCTGGGGGCAGGTCTGACCTGGACCCTGTGAAAAAAGCTCAGAATTCAGGCCTCTTCTCAGAGCTTCCAGAGGCCCTGCACAGAAAGAAGTAAAACTGAACATGGCTGAAATATTGGCTCTGAGGCCCATCAAGGCTGGAGATGAGGCCTGGGGCTTTCAGTACACATGCAGATTCAAGGAAGTGCCTAGCAGGGGAAAACCAGTCCTCCCAAAAAGCTGCAAGGGAACTAGGAACATCATCCTAGGAGGGCTCTCAGCTCTGTCCCTAAAGCACACCTGGTCCTGATGGAGAGATGGAACAATATAAGATACTTATTCTCCCCAGTACTGTTTCTGCTGGAAAGTTCTGCCTAATCCATTATAATGTGAACAGAAAGTGAGGTTTAACCACCAGAAAAGAAGAGATGAAATTACCATTAATTGTAGGCATTATTGGCCTCTGGAAAACCCAAGACTGTTAAAACTAATGAGATATAAAAATCCATATACAAAACCCAATAGCAATATCCAGTTAAAGATCTAATGGGGGGATATCAGGTAAGATAGTGGACTAGAAGCACTAGGGTTCCATCTCCATCTAGATGACAATTGAAGTGGCAGAATCTGTATGATGTAACCATTTTAGCACGTTGGAGTCTATACAAAGGCTTGTAGTTCCAGAGAAAGGCTTAGACAGTAAATCTCAGTTAACTTTGGTCAATTTCAGGTCTTAGCATGGTAGCAGCTACCCATCCTCCATCCCTCAGCCTCATGGCAGGCAGCCAGGCACACATTCCTGGAGCAGCTTGCACACAGATTTCAGGAGTCAAGGTGAGCAATAAGGACCTTGTTGTCCAAATATTGGGATCTGATGCTTATTGCTGCTTCTGATTGTGGAGGTGCTGATACACAGGCAGGCTACCACAGTTGCAATCCCCCCTAACTAAAGAGACTTCCAGGGGATATCAAGGGCCAGAGCCTCAGTTTTGTCCTCCTCCTTCTTTCCCATTTCCCCCTTTTGCGAGCCAGGAGTAAGACATTCCAAAGTAACCACATATGGGGGAGGGGATTTTAAAAGTTACTACACATGTTCATGGAAAGGTGCAGACTCAGAAAAAAACCAAAAAGACCTTGAGTTTTATACCTCAGGCTGATCCAACACAGAGATACCCTACAATAATTTTTAAAAAACCAAACAAACAAACAAAATAGTATACATTGGGGAAATCTGATATCGAGAGTTACTACATTATAAAATTCAAACATCAAGTTTTCAACAATAAAAACAAAATCATGAAGCATACAAAGAAACAGAAAAAAATGGAGTATCGAAGAGGGGAATAAAAAGATAAACAGAAAACATCTCTAAGAAAAACCAAATGATGAACTTATTAGACAAAGACAGGTGGCCAGTTATGAAAACTGTATGAACAAACTAGAAATATAAATAAAGAGATGGAAAACATAAAGAGGGACCAAGAAGATATTTTAGAGTAGAAAAGTACAATGCTTGAATTGGAAAATGAACTAGACATATTCCAAAGCAGATTTGAGCAGATAGAAGAGAGAATCTATGATCTTGAAGAGAGGGTGATAGAAATTATTGAATCTGAGGGACAGGAAGAAAAAAAGATTGAAGAAAAGTGAATGAAAAAAGCCTAAGGGGCCCATGAGACACCATTACATTAAGCAGACCAACATACACATCATGAGAGCTCCAGAAGGAGAAGAGAGAGAGAAATGGACAGAGAGATTATTTGAAGAAATAATGGTTGAAAACCCCAAATTTGATGAAATACATGGATATAAACAAGAAGCTCAACGAACTCCAAGTAAAATAAACTCAGAGACCCACAATGAAGCACATTATAATAAAGCTATTGAAAGACAAAGACAGAGAATCTTGAAAGCAGAAAGAGAGAAGCAACTCATCACATACAAGGGACTCTCAATAAGATTGTTGGCAGATATTTTATCAGAAACCTTGCAGGCCAGAAGGCAATGGGTTGATAGATCCAAAGTGCTGAAAGTAAAAACATTGTCAACCAAGAATCCTATATACAGCAAAACTGTCCTTCAAAAATGAGGGAGAAATTAAGACATTCCCAAAAAAACAAAAGCTGAGTTCATTTCCACTAAACTGTCACACAAGAAATACTAAAGGGAGTCCTTCAGATTGCAATGAAAGGACACTAATCAGTAACTCAAAGCCATATGAAAATATAACCGTCTCTGGTAAAGATATATACATGGGCAATTATTAAAGTTAGCAGTATTATGGTAGCTTTGGTTTCTAACTCCACTTTTTACTTTCTATATGATTTAAGAGACCAATGCATTAAAAATAATTATTAATATATGTTTTTGAACATCAACTACATAAAGATATGATTTTGTGACATCAATAACTGAAACGGGATATGGGGCAGAGTTTTTGTATGCTATTAAAGTTAAGCTAGTAAAAATTTAAATTAGAGTGTAAAAACTTTAGTATGGTAAACATAATCCCCATGGTAACCACAAAGAAAATAGCTATAGAATATACACAAAAGGAAATGAGAAAAGAATTAAAATGTTTCAAAACAAAAAATTAACTAAACACAAGAGAACACAGTTAATAAAGGAAATGAGGGACAGAAAGCTATCAGGCATATTAAAAAAAGTAAAACAGCAAAAGTAATCCCCACTTAACAATTATTATTTTAAATGTAAATAAGTTAAACCCTCCAGTCAAAAAGACAAAGAGAGGGCCGGCCAAGTGGCATGTTAGTTAAGAGTTGGCTTAGGACACCAGCTCTGAGCAGCAGGGCTGTGGTTTGGATCCCACATTGAGGGCCAGTGATGCTGCGCCCTCTACAGCTAAGATGGTGAACAACAGCTCGATCTGGAGCTGGGCTGCTGTGAGTCGCCGGCGATAGCATAGGCTGTAGTGGGGCTGCAGTGGGCTGCCATAGGCTACTGTGAGTGGCCAGCAGCCAGCGTGAGTGGCCGGCAGCTGCGTGAGCCTCCATGAGCCACCGTGAGCAGCCATCCAATGGTCGGCGAGCGGCTGCCTCACCCGGGAAGAGTGCAATGATAATACCAACATGGGCCAGTGAAGCGACGTCCTCCACAACTAGACTGAAGAACTAAAAAAAAGGACAGCAACTTGTCTGTTCCCCTTCCCTGATTCCCCAACACTGTTTCCCTCCCCCAACTCCCCAATTAAAAAAAAAAAAGACAGAGAGATTGGCAGAATGGATCTTTTTTAATAATCTAACTATGTCCTGTCTACAAGAGACTCATTTTAGGTCCAAAAACAAATATGTTAAAAGTGAAAGGACGGGAAAACAAATTCCATGTAAATGGTAACCAAAAGAGAGTGGGGTGACTATACAAATAGCAGAAAATAGACTTTAAAAAGTTAATAAGACAAAAAGAAAGACATTATATATTAAGAAAAGGTTCAATACAGCAAAAAGATATAACAATTATAAACATTTACACAACTAAAAACAGACCATCAAAACCTATGAAGCAAAAGTTACAAGAATTAAAGGGAGAAATAGTTCTACACTAGTTGGAGATGTCAATACTCCACTCTCAATAATGGATAGAACAACCAGACAGAAGGTAAGTAGAAAATAGAAGATTTGAACAACACAATAAACCAAGGAGATCTAACAGACATATACGGGACACCACCCAATAACGACAGCATACTCATTCTTCTCAAGTGCACAGGGGACACTCTCCAGAATTTAGGCCACAAATCTAGTCTCAATAGATTTAAAAATATAGATATCATACAAAGTAACTTCTCCAACCACAGCAGGGTGAAGTTAGAGATCAACAATAGAAGGAAAACCAGAAAAGTCACAAATTTGTGAAAACTAAACAATGCTCTCTTGAACAACCAGTGGTTCAAAGAAGAAATCACAAGGGAAATTAGAAAAGCCTTAGAGGTAAACGAAAATGAAACCACACATACTAAAACTGATGGCATGTAATGGAAGCAATGCTAAGAGGGTAATTTATAGCTGTAAAAACTTGCATTACAAAAGAAAGATTTCAAATGAACAACATAACTTTTAACTTAAGAAACTAGAAAAAGAACAAATTAAACCCAAATCTAGCAGAAGGAAGGAACTAATAAAAATGAGAGCAGAGATAAATAAAACAGAGAATAGAGAAAATCAATGAAACGTAAAGTTGGTTCTTTGAAAAGATTTTTTTTTAAGATTTTTATTGGGGAATTGGGGGATGGCACCAGAGCTGGGGAATTGGGGGAAGGAGAACAGAAAAGTTGCTGTCCTTTTGTTCTTCAGACTAGTTGTGGAGGACGTTGCTTCACTGGCCCAAGTTGGCACCATCATTGCGCTCTTCCCAGGCGAGGCA